TGGCATCAGCCTAGCTCACAGCAACCTCAAACTCTTAGGCTCAAGTAATCCTACTGCCTTAGCCTCCTGAGTAGCTGGGCCTACAGGCATATGCCACCATGCCCGGCTAATTTTTTCTATATATTTTTAGTTGGCCAATTAATTTCTTTCTATTTTTAGTAGAGACAGGGTCTCGCTCTTGCTCAGGCTGGTTTCGAACTCCTGACCTTGAGCGATCTGCCCGCCTCGGCTTCCCAGAGTGCTAGGATTACAGGTGTGAGCCACCGTACCAGGTCTATTCTATATTCTTAATGAAACACCATGGCCCCAAGGAAAAAAATTTTTTTCTAGTGTGGCAGTGTGTTAGATGAGTGAATTTTATGGAATGTGAATTATGTTTCAATAAAGCTGTCAAAAAATGTTAAGCATAAAGTTACCAATCCACTCCTAGGAATCTACTCAAGAGAAATGAAATACTTGTCCACATAATAATTTTTTTCAAATATTCATTTCAGTGTCATTTCTAATAGCCAAAAGGTGGAAACCATCTAAATGCTCATCAACTGGTGAAAGAATAAACAAATGTGGCGTATCTGTGCAATGAACTACTACTCTGCAATAGAAGGATGCATTACTGTTGCATGCAACAGTGTAGGTGACCCTCAAAAACATTATACTCAATGAAATAAGCCAGATACAATATGGTATAATTGCATTTGCAGGAAACATTCAGAAAAAGCAAATCTATAGAGATAGGAAGCGGGTGGTGAGACTGGGATTGGAAACAAATTGACTGCAAATGGACATGACAGACATTTTTGGGGTAAGGAAAATATCATAATATTGGATTGCTGTGATGGTTGTATAATTCTCTGAATTTACTACAAATCATTTAATTATACATTATGATGGGTGAATTTTATGTTATTTAATTATATCTCCATAAAACTGACTTTAAAAATTGAGAGTTTTGTTCTTCAAAAGATAATACTAAAAGAGTAAATAGGCAAGTTGTGGTTTGGGATAAAATAGCTACAAAACACATACTTGATAAAGGACCACTATCCACAATACCTAAAGAAGTCCAACAAATCAATAAGAAAAAAACTTATAATTCAATAAAAGGGCACAAGACTTAAAGAGATACTTCACAAAAAAGAACATCCAAAGGGGCCAATAGGCAAATAAATGCATAACACTATTAATAATCAGTTAAATGCAAATTAAACTATTATTAATCACTACTATACCTCCAATAGACTGGCTAAATATAAAGGAGTGACAATACCAAGTGTTGACAAAAGCATGGAACAACTGTTTTTTTGGCTAAATATAAAGGAGTGACAATACCAAGTGTTGCCAAAAGCATGGAGTAACTTTCATTTTGCTTATGAGCAATATATTGGTACAACTACTTTGTAGTACTCTTTCATAGATACTAATGCTAAATACATGTAAAGCCTATAACCTAACAACTCCAATTCTTGTTATATACTTAGAAATTAGTGCATGTGTCAACCAAAAATAGGTGCAGTACAAAAACGTTCATAGCAGCATTATGTTAAAAAGCATCAAACTAGACATAATCCAAATGTCCATCAATAGTAAATTTGATAAATAATTTGTGCTACAGTAATACAATGAAATACTATCCAAAAATTAAATAATAACAAACTACACTTTCATGCAACAACAAAACGTTCAGCGAAGGAGGCCAGAGAGAAAAGAGTACATAGTGTATGTTTCTAGACAAAATTTATCTATGGTGAAAGAAGAAAAAATGCTGGTTACCTTTGTGGTAACCACAGAACATTCACTGAGGATCTGCTTCAGTATTAAAAAAATGTTATATATCTTTATCTGGGCAGTAGTTAAGCAGGTGTGTGTGTATGCATAAATATTTTCCTGAGTTGTACATATATTTGTACATTTTATTGTATGCATTTTATGATATAGTAGTACAAAAGCAAGACTAGAATTTATATCTTGGCTTCATTTTGACAGCATAAACACAGGATGTATAGCCTAGAAACTAATGAAAATTTTACTTCTCAAGTGAGTTAGAACAGCGTTGAAGGGATAGAGGAGATAGCACTTCCCTGAATATATATTTTCATGTAGTTCAGATTTTTTTGGAGATGGGGATCTCTCTGTTGCCCAAGCTGGTCTTGAACTCCTGGGATCCTTCTGCCTCAGCCTCCCGGGTCACTGGGATTACAGGTGTGTGCCCCTATGCCTGGCTCAGTTTTGACTTTAGAATCACATTATATTAAATATTCAAAAAATAAAATTATATTAATAAGGTCAAAAACAATTTTTAGGGGATAGTAGCAGAGACAGAATTTCACTTGCTGTTTTACAATTTCCAGTCTCCCTTGGAGTCAGGTTGGGGCCACATGACCAGCACTGGTCCAAAGCCCTTCAGTGGGAAGTAGAAACCTGTGGACTGCAGCACAGAAGGGCCAGTTTGGCTCCCTCACATGCTCCCTTCCCTGCTCGGGCAATCATGGCGGTCACACCCTGAGAATGGCCAAGCCACGGGATGGACTCTCCTGCACCTCAGAGTCTCCATGTGAAGCACAACTGCTCCAAAGAGTTGCTCCGAGAGTGGGAAATACACCTTTCTGATCTGGAGGTTTATTTGTTGCCTCAGCCCTCAGCAGAGCTGAGCCCTGGCCTATGCTACCAACACGAGGAAGACATAAGATGGAGGTGGTTTGTTGACAGTGAGGAGACGCAGTGGCTATACTAGGGAAATTGAGGAGAGTGATAAAAGGTTTTCTATCGTCCTGAGATGAATGAGAATGGGAAAGTGGAGCTAGAAGAAAACTAGAGACACTATTTTATCCCTTTCATTTTAAGACAAAGAAACTCAGACCAGAGAGATGACTGATTAGGTCAAGCTAGTGGTAGAGACGTGATTATGAGCCTGGTTTCTGAGACTTTGAGAATAGTCTCGGTTGAGCTACAACTACTTTTGAGAGCAGCTGAACATCTGCTTAGGGTTCTTTAAGATACTGTGAACTTCTTTCAGTTTTCTGGTAGAGGTTCTTGATGGGAACGGTGGCCATCAGAGCCCCTGTTGATTTTTTGTCCCCAACTTTGAAGTCACAACATGATCCCCTTCCCATGTCCATGTTACTGTCCTTCCCTCAAGGCAGCTCACCATGAGTGAATTGATATATTAGGCCATTAAATACAAAATGTCCAATTTTGAATCAAAAGTGCAGTTTATTATGTCTTAAACAAGAAATTAATCAAACCATGCCCCCAAGCTATCAACACGGTTTTGCCATCTTAAGCGTAGCTTGTTTATGCTAGTAGCGAAGACGCCTGGAGAGCAAGTGGCAATGAAACCGCAAAAGGCCATTCCACAGCTTGTTGAGAAATGAATATTTTTCCTTGCAAGAAGTGGCCCAAAGCCTGGAAGAAGTGGTAGTCAGTTGGTGCAATGTCTGGTGAACACAGTGGATGACAGAGAGTTTCCAAGTCCAGCCTCTGTAGTTTGAAAAGTGTTGTTTGTGCGACATGTGGTCTAGTGTTGTCTTGCAAGAGGATTGGCCTGTCTCTGTTGACCAATCTGGGCTGCTTAATCACAAGCATCCTCATCATTTCATCCAATTGGTTGCAGTAGACACCCTCCGTAATCAATTGACCAGGTTTCATGAAGCCGTAGTGGATAATACCAGCCCTGGCCCACCAAACACACGACGTTAGCTTTTTTTGATGAATATTCAGTTTTCGACTGTGTTTCAGTACTTCATCTTTATCTGACCATTGTGCTGAATGCTTGTGAATGTCAAAAGAATCCATTTTTCATCACATGTAACAATACAGTGTAGAAATGGTTCACCTTTATGTCGTGACAGCAAAGAAAGGCAAGCTTCAAGACGATTTCTCTTCTGACATTCGTTTAATTCATGTGGTCCCATCTATTCAGCTTCTTTACCTTGCCAATTTGTCTCAACTGGTCCAATATTGATGGAATAGTAACATCAAACCTTGCTTAGGTTGAGATGGTTTCACTTCCACTATCGCTTTCAGCTCATCATTACCCATCTTGGTCTCAGGTTGCCAACGTGGCTCATTTTCAAGATTAAAATCACCAGAACAGAACTTCTCAAACCATCCACGTACTATGCATTCATTAGCCACATCTGTCCTAAACACTCCATTGATATTTTGAGCTGTCAGTGCTGCGTTGGTTTCATGACAGAACTCATATTTGAAAATAACTCAAATTTTTGACTTATCTGTGGTTTCACAAAAATTGCTCTAAAAAATTTTGAAAGATAATCACAAGCCAAAACATGCTTTTGAAAGACTAAGGATATACCTTCACAATAAAAATAAAATAAGAAGTATCAAAGTGAAATGTCAGAGATATCAACTGTCAAACTTAGTACTTAAGGATGTCGAGCATTTTATACTTAATAACCTAATAGAATAATCAGGAAACATCCTTTAAAGAAATGGCATTTTCCCTTCTGATCCTATTACCTCTTACTGTTTGGATTATGTTTTAATGATTTGACTCAGTTGTGTAGACAAAGTAGACAAAAAATAAAAATACATCCTTGTTGAGAATTTTGCCCCCCCAATCTTTGATGTTTTTTGGGTGGACAACAAGACCTCTCCCCCCTAATATATAATAGGGAATAGGGAATACCTGTGGCATTGTTTTTGAATGAATGTCTAGAGAGTCCCAGGTCATTTCGCCACAAATTCGTTTTTTTTTGATTTGTGAAATCTGTTTTTGCTTTAGCATTGCTCAAGACCGGGTGACCAGTCATCAACTCCACACCCCACCTGCCCACCTGAGGTTCTCTATCTGGGTTTGCGTAACTTCCCTTTTGTGTCCTCCTCGGGCCCTACCTCTCATCCCCTCCTCTGTCCATTTCTGAGCTATGACCGTCACTAGGGAATAACCTCCTGACCTCTCTTTTCCATCTCTGCTTTGACCCTGGGGATGCAGGGGGGCATTGTCACATCACCACTGGTCAACCAATCAGGTGGGCACCTCCCTTCAATGACCTCCCTGTCCCACAGGAGTTCTTGGGCAGCTTCGATGGAAGGAGGGAGCCAAGAAGGAGGCCTGGTGAAAGCCCAGAGATGATAATTACAACGTGGATTGTGTACATTCTCGCCCGGAAAGGTGTGGGGCTCCCCTTCCCGCCAATAACCAGCTCGGTAAGCAGTGCTGGCGGTAGCCACACGGGACTGCTTCTCATCTCTCCCCTCTGTGCTCCTGCTGCCCTTCAGAGAGGTCTTACAACACACGCCTTTGAACAAGAGTGGGGGTGGGTGGGGAGCTGGGTTGCTAGGTTTTCTGAGGTTATCAGCTTACCAATTTCTTCTAGGACATTGATGTTGTGGAAAGCGAGGCTGTATCTGTAGTACAGCATTGGTTGAAAAAAGTGAGTAAAATTCCTCTGTGACTCAGGGTATCCAAAATTCTAGAAAGCTGGTCTCAGTGGATGTGGGGATCTGGACTTCCTTCTACACAGAGCTTGGAAACTCAAGTTCATTGCCAAATACCCTGCCTTGAATTGAGTCTCATCCCCCTAAAAGTCCTAGAGGACACTGGGGCCCATGTCCTGGGCAGAAATGTGTTAGTGTCGCCACTAGCCCTGCCCTGCTTCTCAAGCATCCTGGATTGAGCAGCAGCATCATTTGCAGCTCGAGGGCATCTCACACCTTGGGACAGGGCCAGGGAGGTCCCTGGGACTTAGGGAGGTCCCTGGGACTTCACAGGAAAGTGGCAATAGAGGAGCTTGTGGCAGGAAAGGTAAGATGTGGAGTGTACGTGTGTGAATATGGGGTATGTGTGTTGTGATGGAGAAGGAAAAAGGGGGAAGGAAGAGGAGAAGAGAGGACTTGGGATCAGATGCAGAGACACTTTCAGAGGGAAATGACTCACCTTTCAGACAGAGGAAGAGGCTGCCCAGGGCATAAAGGAGAAGATGTCGACCAACCTTCCTCCCACCCATGGCCAAGACATACATGTGACCAAAAATGTGGTAACAGTTTGAGACAGTCCGGGAGGGGGCTGGGTGAGAGGGCCAAGGTGGGCGGTCCCACTGCAGCTTCTGGAAAAGGGGCATCTGGTGTGGTGCCAGCCCAGCCAGCGGGTCCATGCTGGGTGGGAATCAGGCGGGCCCTCCTGGATTTCCTAGGTGAAACACTGTCTCTCAAAGTCTGATCTGTCAGCAAACCAGAGTCAGGAGGTGCTGGAGGAGAGGACAAGAATCCAGTTCATCAGATGGAGGTGGGCATCCCCTCTGCGCTGAGTGGAGGAGCGGGGAGGGAGAGTGGGAGAAGGTGCCAGCCCCTCTCTCTGCGATGCAGCCCACGTGCACCCACAGCGGCTCCTCCCTGGATGTGTTGTCTCCTACGGCTGAGAAATTCCTCAGCCGTGCCGTGGGGTCTGAAGGGAATATTCTTGCTATCTTGGAAGCCCAGCTCCTTCCTACATTTCGAAATGACTCAAAGGGTTGGAAAACTGGGCTTGCTGTCCATGTCTTAAAGGCTTCTGAATACATTCAAGACTTCCATTATTTTTGCACTTGAGTTGTTCAGAAGTGGCTGTACTTTAAAGAGCTAAAAGAAAATAAGCTCTTACGTTGCAAAAGCCAAAGCCCTCAACTGCAGCTGAGGTGCCTGGAGGTTTCCCAGAGCCTGAGGCTAGAGTTCTGTGCCCCACATTGGCCTTGCCAGGGACCGCCTCTCCTGGCTCTGAGATGCAGGGGCTCACTCAGGTGGCGGAGCGGGGCCAGAGCCACCTCCTGCTAGGAAGCGTAGGCTTTTCTATCGCCTTTCCAGTGCCCATGTTCACGGGGCCTCCGGCCTGCATCACCCATCTCTTCCAAGTAGTGTATGGCGGGCTTGGACCGTCCCTGCTTGTTAAAGTATTGGAAGATGATGTGTGTACTGTCCCAACCAAGGAACACAGCTTGACCCCCGTCCCTGCTTGACCCCCGAGGTCGCCCTCTTCTCTCCTCCTCTCCTTCCAACCCCTCGAGTCATTTCGAAATGTAGGAAGGAGCTGGGCTTTCAAGATAGCAAGAATATTCCCTTCAGACCCCACGGCAAGGCTGAGGGATTTCTCAGCTGTGGACATGAGGGAGGAGCAGCTGTGGGTGCACGTGGGCCTCCCTTGCCCTGCCCCACCGTGGGCTTTGCTGTCTGCTATGGAGGAGGCTGTGTTTCTCAGGAAACACCCTTTTGCTTCCCCATGTTGGGTTTTCACGTGTCTACCCCTTCTCGTGGCACCTGCATTTTAGAAGGATCCAAACGCACAGTAATTACATGACAGGAAGAACTAGCTAATGGTGGAATTTGAGACCTCCCTGGGAAATTGAGACAGAGTCTCGCTTTCTTGCCTAGGCTAGAGTGAGTGCCGTGGCATCAGCCTAGCTCACAGCAACCTCAAACTCCTGGGCTCAAGTGATCCTCCTGCCTCAGCCTCCCGAGTAGCTGGGACTACAGGCACAAGCCACTATGCCCGGCTGATTTTTATATTATATATATATTAGTTGGCCAATTAATTTCTTTCTATTTTTATGGTAGAGACGGGGTCTCGCTCAGGCTGGTTTTGAACTCCTGACCTTGAGCAATCCGCCCGCCTCGGCCTCCCAGAGTGCTAGGATTACAGGCGTGAGCCACCGCGCCCGGCCGGAAAGAATTTTTTGTATGGAAAATCTTCTGAGGTCCCTCAAATCATAAATGCCATTGATTGTAATCCAGGCTTTTTTGTGGCTGACCTGGTTGCACGGTGGAGTTCTAAAGCTGTGTTCCTTGGTTGGGACAGTACACACATCATCTTCCGATACTTTAACAATCCTGGCTGGATAGTATAACTATTTAACAGGGTTGAGCTTTTGAGCCAGGTTACAGGCATTAATTATTTACATATAATTTTTCCATCTTGGGTTTTCTACAGAGATTTTTTAAAACCACTAACTCTGCCTGTTTCCCCTGTAATCCACTGGCTTTAGTGTCACCTTTTGAGTTTCAGTGAGTGTAGAGTCAGGGAATGCATACCCCTTTATGGGCGCCCTGGACATTCATCTGTTCGGTAAACGTGTGCTGGCCACCCAGTGTTTGCTAGGCCCTCTGGAAGAGAGAGAAAATATGACATAGTCCTCAATTTCGAAAGGATTAAAAGTTACCCAGGTGGGCAAGGTGTGTGAAAGTTGAAGAAAATGCTAGAGAAGCCGTGAGTAATATCTCTGAGAACACACTGTGGGGGACCCAGGTCACACCTGGGGTACTTGAAAGGTTTCTAGCAGGCCAGGCCGTTGCTGGGAATGGCCCTTGAGTGGGGCAGGAACTGGAGAAACAGGAGCCAGGGTGGGGAGAGGGGCGACTTCAGAGAGCAGGAACCGCAGCACCCGGACGGTCCACGTGGCCTCCGGGGCCCAGTGCTGGCCCTTCTCTGAGGCCCCCTGTTGTCCCGCGCTGGGCACTCCTCCGTTTGCTGGCGTCCCTGCATTCTTCAACTCCTCTCAGGCCACCTTTGCCTTTGTCTCCCTCTCAGGCTCCTCCTTGCCTGGGACAGTCATGAGCACAGCCCACCTGGGGGCCTCAGGTCCCTGGGGCAGTAGCAGTGCTGTCCTCACCTGTGAGGCCCCGAGCACTGAGAGTGGGGCGTTAGCCAAAGAGGGCAGCTTCAATAGACACAGAAACGGGGTGTTTAGTGGACGGAGTGGAGGGGTCGTGAGGGGAGGAGTGGGGAAGGACAGGAAGGGGACCGGAGGCAGGAGGCAAAGCCAGTGTGGTGAAATAGAACGCCACAGCCACCAGACACCCATGGCTTCCCTGCAACAGAACGTTCTAGAAATATCTCTAAACCATAGTGTATGTGGCACAACACAGATTGTAGATAGTGGTAGTGAAGTTGGGGAGGAATTCAGAAGGGGTGAATTCCGCGTCTTTCAAGACCACTGACCCACAGACTTTAGTCTAAGCAGCAACCTCTGTGTCCCTGGCTGCCTTAGGACTGCTCGGCACTGTTGGGCAGCTCTGGCGTCCTTGGGTAGTAACAACCCTTTGTGCTCCTGACTCACGAGGGTGAGGGTGAGGGGCTGGCTTGCAAGTTCACGGTAATGGGGCCAGAGCAAGTGTCCGTGCGCCCCCAGCTCTGGCAGTTTCGCTGCCTAGTGAAAAAGGTTTGAATGGCGTTTTGCAGCCACACCCGCATCTTCCAAGTGCCGAGCGAGGTGACGGAGGACATCATGCGAGATCGAATAGAGCAGGTGAGAAGAAGGTAAGCTGTTTGCGACCAGTTGATTTGTGCTCCTAACTGGGGGCAGGTGGGGTGCAGGTATTCCAACATCAAGAGCAGGGACAAGCAGTTCCTGGGGCCGCTGGCCCGTCTTCTGTGCTCCACGCTGTGGGGCTTTGTCAGCCTCCATGGTGCCTGCCGGGGCGCAGAGGGCTCTGGGCTGAGTGCCTCTTCGTGGGACTCCGCTCCTGGGCCCGGATGTGGCCACAGCCCAGCATGGCCAGCCCGACTCCGCTCCCCCAGCCCCTGGGCCACGGTCGGGTGCAGTCTGGTCTGGGCAGGCTGTGCCACCAGGCAGCCCCTCCACCTTGCCCCTGTCCTCTGTCCCCTGCAGCATATGCCAAATTACAGATGAGTCATCTCAGGAACCCAGCATGACAGTTTCCTTCGAGTGCTAAGAGCAAGAGGTGAGAGAGCCGACAGGTGAGGAACCGGGCAGAGCACATGGTTATCCTGGGCAGCGGAGGGTGTGCTAGGGTGGGGAACTTGGTAATTAGGCCTTGCCTTTCCCTGTGGGGAGGGGCCTGCACTGGGGCCAGTGGGGCAGGGGGGGAAGGCAGCAGTTTTGGGCTTCTGCACTGCCTTTCAAAATTTTGAAAGAACTTGAAGTCAAGCTTCAGATTGGCCTCTCTGACTCTCTTCACTGTGGTGTTGGAGAGCTTTGCTTCTGCATTATTCATGGGTCTAGGATCTCGTGCTGGTGGCTGGTGGGGGGCCACAGTTCTAACAGTTCCTGGGCATTGTTGCTGCTGGTCTGCTAACCTCACCTTGAGTCACAAGATCAAAGAGTCAGGAGTGACGCCACATAGACTTTGGACGTGCACCTACTAGGGATGTGACTTTGGGTCCCACAGCCTCTTTGCTTGGGTTGGGTCCCAGTGGTCACATGATCGCTGTTTATGAGGTCCTGTGAGGCGGGAGGCTGATTGCAGGACACAACAGCTACATTTGCCATCCGGGAAGCAGCCGCGGCACCCCTGCCAGAGGGACGGCTGCACAGGCTGTTGTGGAAGCTAAAGACGTCATTTAGACACAGTGTCCTTGGAACACTCAGAGAAAGGCCGTGGGGTTGTAAGGCTGGCACTTATTGAGCACTTACTGTATGCCAGCTTCTGCACGAGGTACTTTGTTAAGATTTCTCATCTGAACCAAAAACAATCTTAGAGGAGGGCATCGTTCAAGCCCATCATACAGAAGGCAGAGGTTGAGCCAAGTCCACGAGCAGGCACTGAGTTCCAATCCGGTTCCACCGTGGGTGGGTTACCTAATGCCTCGGTGCCTCCGTTTCCTCATCTACAGTGGAGTGTCTACTGCGGAGGGTTGTCTTGGGGGTGACGGCGTCTAGCACCGGGATGTGCCACGCTGGGTATGTGCTGCTATTACTAGAGATGAGGAACCAGAGGTTCTGGAAGGGCAAGCAGTTCTCAGGGGCTTCTGAGTTGGGAGAAGCAGCCCCAGGCTTCAGTCCCAGCTGTCTGACATACCACTGCCTTTTCTTTCCGTGGGATTTTCTGCTCTCTAGACAGAGCTCTGTGAGTGTGCAGGACAGCAGGGTAGAGGGAGTTGTGGTCAGCTCTGCTCTTTGGCCAGCCACAGCTCCATGACGTGTGCCCGGGCACTTCTCTGCCTCCCAGGTTGAAGTCCTTCGGGGCCAAGGAGCAGCCTATGTCAGAAGAATGTCCAACGCCTGCTTGACCTGAAGAATGACCAGACCTGGGCAGAGAGACTCCAGCACGTGAGCCCTTCACCGGGACAGTGGCCGTGCTGGAATTTCCTGCTGAACTGCTAATAAAGAGATGTGCTATTTAACAACTCTCCGGGTGTTGGTGGGGGTGCTTTGCCACGCATGCCTCCACTCATTCACTCACAGACGCCGGGCACCTCGCAGGCCTGGCTCTGGGGACACGGCTTGCAGCCCTGTGCCGGAGACAGACAGCAGCCATTGTGCACTGTGTGACGAGGGCCATGCGGATGCTCCCGGAACACTAGGAGGGTGCCAGAATGGGCCGGGCCAGCCAGGGCTTCCTGAGGGAGGGGCGGCTCGCTTGTTGCCATGTTTATGTCATCTTCACTTTCCCTTCTTTAGCACTCTTCTTTCTTTCAGGTATATCTGACTTTCTGACCAATAGCCTTTTTCTTTGAAGAACTTCTTTTAACATTTTTTGCAGGGCAAATATATTAGTGACAATTTCCCTCAATTTTTGATTGTCTGAGAAAGTATTTTTCCTTAACTTTTGGAGGATGATTTTTCAGGATATAGAATTCTGGGTTGCCATGTTTTTTCTTTCGACACTTAAATATTTCACTCCACTTTTATCTTGCTTGCATGGTATGCGAGGAGAGGTTGGATGTAATTCTTATTCTTGCTCCTCTATAGGCAAGGCGTTTTTTCCTTACTCTGACTTCTTTCAAGATACTTTTTTTTGTCTTTGATTTTCTGAAGTTTGAGTATGATAAGACTAAGTGTAGATTTACCCCCCACCCCACCCCCATTTATCCTGCTTGCTATTCTCTGAGATTCCTAGGTCTGTTGTTTGGTGTCTGTCATTAATTTTGGAAAATGCTATGGTATTATTACTTCAAATACATTTGTGTTCCTTTCTCTTTTTATTCTTTTTTCTAGTATTCCCATTACATTTATGTTACACCTTTTGTAATTGTCCCACAGGTTTTGGAAAATCAGTTTCACTTTTTTTCCTTCTTTTTTTCTCTTTGCTTTTCAGTTTGGGTACTTTCTATTGACACTTCTTGAAGCTCACCAATTCTTTCCTCAGCCTTGTCCAATGTACTGATGAGCCCCTTAAAGACATTCTTTATTTTTGTATAGTTTTTTAAAATTTCTGGCATTTTCTTTAGATTTCTTTGAGTTTCCATCTCTCTGCTGACATTACCTGTCTGTTCTTGCATGTTGTCCACTGTCTCCATTGGAGCCCTTACTATATTTATTATAATTGTTTTAAATTACCAGCCATATCTGAGTCTGGTTCTCATGCTTGCTTTGTCTCTTCAAACTATATTTTTTGCTTTTCAATAAGCCTTTCAATTTTGTGTTGCAAGCCAGACATGATGTATCAGATAAAGGAATTGAGGTAAATACACCTTTGCTGTGAGGCTGGGAGGTAGGCCGTGTTTACTATTTGCTATAGCTATGTCAGAGGTACGAGTTGCTCTGATGTCCTTGTTTTTGTCTTCCCTGTTGTCTTTGGGTTTCCCTAGGGACTCCTTCTTACATAGAGCCGGAGGCTTTCAGTTATTTCAGCTGTAATCCCCTATTATTATACAGTAGTCCACTATTGAGGTGGTACTATATGTGGGGGGGGGGAGTGTTCTACAGAAGATTGGGTCTCAGTATTAGTGAACCTGTGCCCCTGGGCTGTGACCTCAGCTTCTCAGCCCCAACCCCCAACTTTAGGAAAGATAGGAAGAGGAAAAGGCTAGTAGGGAGTGGGTGGAGTTGGATATTTCTCTTCTTCCAGGCTGGTTTGGCTGTGGTGAAGTAGTTTGCCTTGCAGGCAGGCTTTTGTTAAGGAGAAAAGAATGCTCTGGACATATTTAAAAGTGGGTACTTTCCACCTCCGCCTTGGGAAGCAGGAAGGGAATCAACTTTCACTGTGAGGACCTAGCAGAGCTCCTGGAGGTAAAACTCACGAAAGTGTGGGACCTCCCTATGACTAGGCCCTTGGACTTTTTAACCATCAAGATTGTCCACACTTAGCTTCCAGCAATTTGTCAGTTACAGTTCAGATTTTCCTACTTAGGGCTGGTTCCCATGGAGGTTTATACTACTGGGCTTCTGCTCTGGGAAGTTGCGATTCTCTTTATCCACTGTTCTGGCCGTCCAGGTTTAAGGTCAGTAGTTTACTTTGTGAGCTCAATTCCCTAACATATAAGAAGAGTTGTGAATTTCCAGTTTATTCAGATTGTTTTCTTGTTGTGAGGATGGGGGTGATGACTTTCAAGCTCTTTACATGTCAGACTAGAAACAGCAAGTCTCATTCAAGTATTTATTGAGTGTCTATGAGAATAACAGCTAATGTATACTGAGCACTTACCATGTGCCTGGTCTCATCTAAGGACTTTGGATATATCCAAGTGCTTAATCCAAGCAGCATTTGAAGTAGATACTATTATTATTATCAGAGAGGAGACAACACAAGACCAAGAAAGTTAAGTACCTTGACCAAAGTCACTTTGGTGACTGGGGAGTGTTGGAACCCCAGCCTGGCTTTCTGGCTGCGAAGCCTCCTTTTCCAGCCACTTTGTTATGCTGTGTGTAGGCTCTGGGGTAGGCCCCATGAATATGGTAGTGACTAGGACCCACCCTGTCCCTGCCCTGGTGGAACTTTCATTTTGGCCAGGGAGATGAATTTTAAACAAACTATTTATGAGACACGAATTTCATATCTATTATAAAGGAGAAATACTACATATAATGGAAACTTGACCTGCTCAGAGGAAAAACTGAGATTTCCTTTTTATTACTTTAAAATCATCATCCCCATTTTGCAGAAGAGGAACAGGAAGCTCAGAGAGGTTAAGTAGCTTTCCTGATGTACCACAGCCATTAAATGGCATGGCCAGGATTTGAATCCAGGTGGGATCATGCCAGAGCCAGTGTCCTTAACTACTGCCCTCCCTGTACAGCTGTGCTGGGGTGGAGGAGAGCGAGAGGGCTCTGAGTGGGGGCCTGGCCTCACAGAGGAGGCCGCTCTGGCTGGTCGGGGCAGCGGGAGGAGGTGGGTCCACAGAGGCCGTTGAGGGCTGGAGGCTGCCCACGTGAGCTGTGGAGACCCTACTGGGGATCCCCACCTCACCTGGCAGGGACGGAGGTGGGATGTGCAGGAAGCGGAGAGTGCTTTTACCCGTGGAGACAGGCTGTCGCAAAGGGTGGCAGCAGGGAGCCCAGCAGGGGTCCCCTGGGCAGTGGCGGGTGGGTCTGAGACAGGCCTGGTGACTTGGCCGCATGGCACAGGCGTGGACTAGAGTGGTCCTGGGGTGGGGCTGGGGAGGGGGCCGCCGGCTGAGGAAGGCAGGCCCAGGTTGGCAGATAAGCTCAGACTGGGCCCTGTGTTTGGGCCCCGTAGGACGTCCAGTCGTGATGGACACCTGGGGCTGGGCTGGCAGGTGTGGGTGGAGGTGGGAGCTTGGAGAACGTCCAAGGGGGAGAAGCGGCACATCGGGCACTGCTGGCTGGGAAAGGCCCGCCTGCCCGGCAGCTTGCATCTCCGCGGAGGGAGGGAGGGAAGAGAGGTGAGCAGGCCTTCCTCAGAGTTCTGGAGGCGGCCACGCCTTCCCAGCCCCTCACTCAGGCTTCTTGGGAACGTCAGAGCCCATGCTGCTGCAGAACACCCTTCTCTGAACCGGTGTGGCAGGAGACTCGGCAGGGGAGGAGGCCCTCTGGGTCCACCATTGCAGGCTGAGTGGCTGTTTTGCTGGAAGCCACCAGATGGTGCCACCTGCATGTGAAAACACATTTCCTGAAGGTGACCTGGTCTTTTCTTTGCGCCGGCTCCTGAGAGCAGGGCTGGGTGTGGATTTTAGTACCATTTGGGAAGCCTCAGATGGGATACTTTTGAGTGTCTTAGTTATGAAATCAGCTCATGCCCACACGCATGACTATACAGGGGACACTCACTCCGAGAACACTGATTGAGCACTTCTCTCCTGGCACTGGGCCAGTGCTGGGAGTGTGGGGACACCCAGGTGAGTAGCCTGGTACATCCTTAAGGACCTGAGTTGTGAAATAAAATAAAATCTTAAGGCTTACCCCCACCGGCTGACTGAATGCACTTCCTCTTGGCCAAGGGGATATCCTAAAACTAAATTGCCTGCCAGGAGGAGAGGGGTCAGACAAGCCTTATCATGCCCCACCCCCCACCATTCAAGACATCCTTTGTAACCCATTAGCAAGCTTAAGGGTATGCAACACCGACCTGTAGGTCCTCAGTTTACACACACATATATGTCCTGTGGCTTGTTTCTGAATAACAGAGCTCCTTATCTTAAAACATTCCAAACCTTTAGACAAAGCTTCAGGTCTTTAACCAATTATAAGTCAAAGAATCTTTAAACCCACCTATAACCTGTAACTCCCTGCCCATCCCCTCCGCCCCCCAGTGCTGCTGGATGGCCCACCTTTTCTGGCCGAACCAATGTATACCTTCCACGTATTGATTTGACTTTACCTGTAACCCCTGTCTCCCTGAAATTTAAAGAACCAAGCTGTAACCCAACCACAGCGAGTCCACTTGCTCAAGGCTTCTTGGGCATGGCTCTGGGTCATGGTCCTCAAATTTGGCTCAGAATAAATCTCTTTAAAATGTTTCATAGGCTTTGGCTTCTTTTCCATTGACAGAGTGGTGGAGGGGCTGACATGCAAACAAATAAATATAGTGTGAAAATAAACCAAAAGAGTATAAATGGTAGAGTGAAGGAGGGAGTGATTTCTGTGCTTGAGAGAAAGTGTCAGCTGATTCCTAGAGGAAGTGATGTTTACGCAGAGTTTCAGAGGCCTTGCCAGACTCCGGCAATGGAGGAGGGGTCTTCTAGGGAAAAGGAACACCACGGGGGAGCCACGGAGGATGGTTAGGGGCTTCTGCCTGCATGTCTGCCTGTCTGGGATGCCAGGTAGGGTAGGTGGGGGACAGTGGGGGATGGCAGAAGGAAAGACTAAGAGGCGGACAAGTGTGCACCCTGCAGGTGGGTGCCCGATGACCCCATGTGACCTGGCAGGCATCCAGAGGAAAGGAGGAAGGAAGAGCCCCACGCAGGCCAGGCATGGTTTTCCAGGGGACAGAAGATGTGCCCGCCCCAC